TTCACTGATACTTCTGTCAAGTATTGTACAGACACTTATGTCAGGCCTTTCAATGATACTTCTGTTAAGTATTGTACAGACACTTATGTCAGGCATTTCACTGATACTTCTGTCAAGTATTGTACAGACACTTATGTCAGGCCTTCACTGATACTTCTGTCAAGTATTGTACAGACACTTATGTCAGGCCTTTCAATGATACTTCTGTTAAATATTGTACAGACACTTATGTCAGGCCTTTCACTGATACTTCTGTTAAGTATTGTTTTAACCATTATGTTAAACATTGTACTGATGTGTGACCTATTTCAAAAGTTAAACTGTGGCAAACGTTTCCTTATCGTTTTTTTTGTCTCTGTGTTGTAGATTCAAGCCAAGTTACATGTCATCTCTCGGGAATGTTATAGGTGAGTCAAACATGATCAAGTCACGTTGTGTATATTTTTCATGCCATTTGATGACACTAATTAGTCCCCCACTGGGAACCGGGGGGGACTATAGTTTTGTGTCGAGTCCGTCCGTCCTTCCGTCCTTCCATACTTCCGTCCCTCCTTCAGCTATCTTGTCCAGGCTGTATCTCCTACACTTCTTGTCATTGGAACTTCATACTTTGGGTATGGGTTCACCTTGGTGAGGCGGTGTGTCTTGTATCAAAAGTAGGTCACTCTGACCTACATTTTGACCTTTGACCTGCATCAAAGAACAAGTTTGTCCTGGCTCTATCTCCTACACTACTAGTCACTGGAACTTCATACTTGGAGTATGGGTTCACCTTGGTGCGGCGGTGTGTCACGTATTAAAAGTAGGTCACTCTGTTTTTGACCAGGTCACTGACACTACTCCTTATTGAATACTGTGGGTCTGTCAAACATTTATATATAGAATTAGTTCCTGCACAAATTTATCATCTGCATTTTGCATTAGGTGGGGGACTATAATTCGCTGAATTGTCTTGTTAGGTTTAAAATATTTTGAAAAAAATATTTTTTGGGTACAAATTAAAAATAAACAAAAGAGGCAATCACACTGTCTAGTCAACCGAATTTTAATACCACAACAAACGAGCATATTCAGAGTAAAGTGGTGTGGAGAAGGATGTGGGAAGTGTTTGTAAGTTAGCTAAAAATGTTAGCACTGATTCTGTACCTCAGTAATATAGATGTTTGGATAGGTTTAGCTCAACTCTGAGTTGTTTTAATGCATGTTGTATGGTATCTAGGATTGGAGGTGTTACAGGTGACCATGTGAAGGTTAGTTTAATACGGGTTCCATGAACTATAAAGAATTGCTATTGTAGCAAATATATATAGGTAGTGACAGAGCTGGTACTTAACCAATTAAAGAAATACCTGGTACTGATATACCGGGGTAAGTAGAGATTGCTTTACAATGTAGGTAGCTATTTTCCTGGTGGTCGACTTGACAGCAGCTGTACTAACAACAGTCTTGATGATTTTCCTGATGTCTAGGATGACTTGTTTCAGACTATAACATGTTATATCAAAGTTTTACTTTATACACAAACCGGTCGGTCTTGAAACGTTGCGACACGTTTGGTACGTACATTGTTTGTGTATAAAGTAAAATCTTGATTTTCCTTATTGATGATTTCCTGATGTCCACGATGACTGTTCTGACAACATTCCTCGTTGATGATTTCCTGATGTCCAAGATGACTGTTCTGACAACATTCCTCGTTGATGATTTCCTGATGTACATATGACTGTTGTCCTGACAACAACATCCTCGTTGATGATTTCCTGATGTACATGATGACTGTTGTCCTGACAACAACATCCTCATTGATGAGTTCCTGACATGCTTGATGACAGTTGTCCTGACAACAACATTCCTCGTTAATGATTTCCTGACATACTTGATGACTGTTGTCCTGACAACAACATCCTCGTTGATGATTTCCTGACATGCTTGATGACTGTTGTCTTGACAACAACATTCCTTGTCAATGATTACCTTGATGTACATGATGACAGTTGTCCTGACAACAACATTCCTCATCAATGATTTCTTTATGTACATGATGACAGTTGTCCTGACAACAACATTCCTTGTCAATGATTTCTTTATGTACATGATGACAGTTGTCCTGACAACAACATTCCTCATCAATGATTTCTTTATGTACATGATGACAGTTGTCTTGACAACAACATTCCTCGTTGATGATTTCCTGACATACTTGATGACTGTTGTCCTGACAACAACATCCTCGTTGATGATTTCCTGACATACATGATGACTANCCCTTGTGGGTGAGATAGGGGAATCTCAACCCTCAGGGAAAGATTCGGCAAAGCCTGGTGTTTGGAAACTTAAGAATCTTCACCCTCGGGTTGAGATTCCCCAAGGGGGTCAGAGATTCTATCAATCTCATCCGATATAATCTACACTGTGAAATACGTTGTGTTCTTTGTAAGGACGGACTACATTTTTACAAGGAAGCATTCAAATGTAGCTTATATTAAGTAGTGAAGAAGCCATATTTATTTGAGGCCTCAGACTGGATACTTGTAGTCTATAGTGGCATGGAATAGTCTTTTCGAATAAAAAGTGCAAGAAACAAAATCTATTACCTGTAACTGAGCTAGATCAGGATATCTCAGTCGAGCGCTAAAATTCTGCTTAAATCTCGGTTGGGATTATGTTAGAGAATCTTAACCCTGGACTGAGGTAACCCGATCTCCCTCAGTTACATGTAATAGATTTTATTGATCCCTACGCATTTAACATAATTACAACACTTTTGACACCATTACTACCGGTAGCCACTTTTCATGTGTTAAAAAAAACCATATGTTAAAAAACCAGTAAAACAACAGAATAAGAAAATGGTAAAAAGCTCAATGTTTACAAACCTTTGACCTTGTTGAAGGTTTTATGACTGTATTTTCAGGCAATGGAAGGTTATTACGAGAAAATCAACGACCCCAGTCNATTGCCCTTTGTTCATTTCAGTATTTGAATTTTGTCCGGAGATCTCCTCCTACGTTTTTCGACCGATCTCTTTGAAACTTAGTATACATAATAGTCATGATATGAAGTTGTGTCTCCCTTAAAAGAATTTTGAATCAACAATTTTTCCAAAAGTTATTGCCCTTTGCTCATTTCAGTATTTGAATTTTGTCCGGAGATCTCCTCCTACGTTTTTCGACCGATCTCTTTGAAACTTGGTATACATAATAATCATGATATGAAATTGTGTCTCCCTTAAGNTAGATCAGGATATCTCAGTCGAGCGCTAAAATTCTGCTTAAATCTCGGTTGGGATTATGTTAGAGAATCTTAACCCTGGACTGAGGTAACCCGATCTCCCTCAGTTACATGTAATAGATTTTATTGATCCCTACGCATTTAACATAATTACAACACTTTTGACACCATTACTACCGGTAGCCACTTTTCATGTGTTAAAAAAAACCATATGTTAAAAAACCAGTAAAACAACAGAATAAGAAAATGGTAAAAAGCTCAATGTTTACAAACCTTTGACCTTGTTGAAGGTTTTATGACTGTATTTTCAGGCAATGGAAGGTTATTACGAGAAAATCAACGACCCCAGTCTGAATGGTGCTATTTTTGTAGCAGTGTGTCGAGGAAAGGTAGGTTGAATAGCATGCTGTCCGATGTTTCTGAACACTTTCTACTTGGTGTAACAATATCAAACTATTGGTATATGGTGTGTTGATATGCACTAAGACACTGCTAACTGGAGCCAGTGGAATCTACATCAGTAGTACATGGTATTTAATGAATCTGATGTTGATCAGGGTTCATCATGTATCAATTGAGATGAATAATTTATTGTAGTTTTACTGATACTGATGATTCGTGTAAGTACATTTGTTTTCAGAAGAGATGTTAAATTTTAAGTTTGTAGGAAAAATAGTTATTTACCTACTAATGTGAAAGACTAGTGATCAATTATTACAACCTTGGAAGGACATTTTGCAGTATTCCAGACTTCATACTCCTCTATGATTCTGTGATAAATAAATCCTCATATTGTTCTCAGTGTGTGCATTCAAAACAGTCTCAAATTGATTTTCTAAGGAGAGATGACAGTGACTTCACTATGATGTAGGTGCATATCTAGTGATAGATGGACATCTACAATGATATGTGATGTGTTTCTAGATGGAAGATGGCCATAACCCGTAGAAGTTTGACGAGGTTACAGGTAGTTCTGACAGTCTATTTTAGTGAGCATATGGCAGGACACTTAAAAGTTAGATAAACATTGTTTATTTTTCTGTAAAGTTTGGGCAATGAATTCGCAAAAAGTTGCTTTATTTTTTTTACACAGGTGAGCGAGGGCCTTGACTTTTCTGATATCAACGGTCGAGCGGTCATAATCACAGGCCTGCCTTACCCGCCACGTATGGACCCCAAGGTCAAACTAAAAATGGAGTTTCTCGATGAAATGAAAGGCAAACAGACATACCAGGTGCATTGTTCGAACTGATACGAAAATCTACATCCACCTATGTCAGATATTCCCATATGATATTTGCATTTAAGTTAGTTTCACTGAAAGTATAAGTGCTCTAGGCCAACCAAACTTGGACCATAGATGCATCTTACTATCTTAGGTAGTACATCGCAATCCATGCATCAAATGCTGGATGCTGCCTACCTTTTATGGTCCATTGACTTTGTCAGCATCTACATCAACATTAAGTTTTTGCATTTAAGTTAATTTCTCTGAAACTATAAGTGCTGCATCTTGGGTAGTACATCTCAACCCATGCATCAAATGATGGATGCGGCCTACCTTTCATGTTCCATTGACTTTGTCAGCATCTCCATCAACATTAAGTTTTTGCATTTAAGTTAATTTCTCTGAAACTATAAGTGCTGCATCTTGGGTAGTACATCTCAACCCATGCATCGAATGATGGATGCGGCATACCTCTCATGGTCCATTGACATCTCCATCAATATTAAGTTTTTGCGTTTCTCTGATATGTGCATTGATGGTCAAAGCGGGGCACAGGCGGGACATATCTATCTGAATGGCTTGTCTTAACAAAATTTGGAGAAATTATGTCTGCTAACTCTGACAAACTGATGAATTGAACGAATGATAGAGACCTTCAATTATTAACATAAACCAATGTTTTTAGACTCTGACTGGAAATGACTGGTACAAACAGCAGGCTTCACGGGCTGTCAATCAGGCTATTGGGCGTGTCATCAGACATCGCCATGACTACGGTGCCATCATTCTTTGTGATACAAGGTAAACAGATGAAAAAATATGCATATAAAATTGTTTTTCATCTGAGTTGTATCTTTTATGCTGTAAGAAACCCCATTCAGTACATTTCAATTTTAATGTTTATTATTGAGGTTTATCATTTTTTATACGACCGTCAAATTTGACAGGAATTTGACGGTAGTATTATGGTATGGCATTGTCCTTCCATCCATATGGCGTAAACTTTGTTTGTCCGGCAATCTTCTCCTACATTTTTCGACTGATCTATTTGAAACTTGGTATACATTATAATCATGATATGAAGTTGTGTCTCCCTTAAAAGAATTTTGAATCAACAATTTTTCCAAAAGTTATTGTCCTTTGCTCATTTCAGTATTTGAATTTTGTCCGGAGATCTCCTCCTACGTTTTTCGACCGATCTCTTTGAAACTTAGTATACATAATAGTCATGATATGAAGTTGTGTCTCCCTTAAAAGAATTTTGAATCAACAATTTTTCCATAAGTTATTGCCCTTTGTTCATTTCAGTATTTGATTTTTGTCCGGAAATCTCCTCCTACATTTCTCGACCGATCTCTTTGAAACTTAGTATACATAATAGCCATGATATGAAGTTGTGTCTCCCTTAAAAGAATTTTGATTCAACAATTTTTCCAAAAGTAATTGCCCTTTATTCATTTCAGTATTTGATTTTTGTCCGGAAATCTCCTCCTACATTTTTAAACGGATCTCTTTGAAACTTAGTATACATAATAGTCATGATATGAAGTTGTGTCTCCCTTAAAAGAATTTTGATTCAACGATTTTTGCAAAGTTTATTGCCTTTTGTTCATTTCAGTATTTGATTTTTGTCCGGAAATCTCCTCCTACATTTTTAAACGGATCTCTTTGAAACTTAGTATACATAATAGTCATGATATGAAGTTGTGTCTCCCTTAGAAGAATTTTGAATCAACAATTTTTCCAAAAGTAATTGCCCTTTATTCATTTCAGTATTTGATTTTTGTCCGGAAAGCTCCTCCTACATTTTTAAACGGATCTCTTTGAAACTTAGTATACATAATAGCCATGATATGAAGTTGTGTCTCCCTTAAAAGAATTTTGATTCAACAATTTTTCCAAAAGTAATTGCCCTTTATTCATTTCAGTATTTGATTTTTTGTCTGAAGATCTTCTCCTACATTTTTTATAGCATATCAGCTAACCACTCTTAGAATGATGCAGATCTTATTGAAATGTAAGAAAGTATATAACACTATATGGCATTCGACCGGCGTATTTTGTTCGGCCCCCAGTACTATTGTTGTCAATTAAGATAACGTCACAATTTATAGTAGGTAGTGTGAACAATGTGTAATATTTCTAAGTTTTCCTATAAATTTCTGACTTTTGCTATTTATAAGTTTTCCCACGAGATCACCATATGTCTTGTGTTATTTCTAGATTTTCCTATGAGAACTCGGTGAAACAGTTACCTATATGGGTACGTCCACATGTCAACAAATACAACAGTTTTGGGCAAAGTCTGAAGGACATCATGGTCTTCTTCAAAGCTGCTGAGAAAACCGTAAGTAAGAAAGAAATGACAGTCTTTCAAATGCAAAAGTCACGCAAGTCAAAGAAGTAAAGACTCTCTACTTCATAGGCAGGTATAAAAACCAAATTACAATCCCATATTATTATTTAAACGACCTGAAAATATGTTTGGTGATTTTTGTAATTTCTTTAATAAGCCCCCCACCCCCAATAAAATCCTTGTTATCCTATTTTGAATTTCGCTATTCACATGTAATTACTATATACATTTTGTATTGTAATTTTTGTACCAGTATTTGCTGTTGTGATAAATTTACCCTCATTGGGGAGAGTGAAAAAAGGCGTAAGTCAAAGTACGGCGAAAAGTTCCCGTTGTACAGTGTATAGCCTCAAAACACCTGTCCTTTATTTTGTATATAGTTGCCAGCTCCACAACCGCAGAAAAAGAAACAGTTAACAGCTGGATGTCATGGAGCACATTTTGCTCCCACTTTGTCAAGGGCAAAGGTCACCCCAAAGCTAGAGCAGGCTCGTAAGGTGGAACAGCATGTGAAGAGTCTTCGTAACACGGAAGGTAGGAGTTGGTGGCATAGCTGTCAACCCTCCCTCATTGGAGGTTTGGGTGGTTGACACCTATGAGGTGGCTATGAGGATACTTTGTTATTACCTAGTGTCAGATTGTAGAATAGTAGAGAAGTGTCTCTGGTACGGAAAAAAAAGACCTACTGGAGAATACAGAAAGGAAGGAGGCAAAACTGTACATGTATATAGAAAGCAGATGGCGAACATGTTGTACTTTAACCACATATAATGGAACTGATTGAACTGTTTATAAAATAATACAACAATTGTATTTTAAGAAGGATAGGGATGTAGCAATTTTACTGGGTTTTAGAAAACGGTATACATACTTATATCGTCAGAGAAATCTTTCAAATACCCAACTTCAGTTGTTTAGACAAGTAGCACAGTTTGAAAGTATGAAAAATGTTTAAATTTGAAAATTATTTGAGCAAATTTGTTTTCTAGAGGAGAATGCCAGGCTACAGATTCAATATGAGCAGACCAGGCAGTCAGTGGTGAAGAACAAGAAGCACAGTCTCCTAGGGGCCCTGACTGAAAGTGAGGTGAGTTATTGTTATATTCTTGTTCCCTCAAGGGGAGATAGACCAGCAGGGACGTAGAGCTGTGTTTGAAAGAGAGATGAGGTTTTTAAAGGGAGTTAGACCAGGGGCATCATGTACTGTGTTCTCCGTGTAAATGTGAAGTGAGTTGGTGCTTTAAACATGATTGAATAGGGATACTTCTGGGGTTTCGTTCATGAAACTATTTTCATGCTCCAACCGAGATTTTGTACTCAATCCCACTTTCTTTATTTTATTGATAACTCAAAAAAAAAATATGCATTTTGTCCATGATTTGGAAAAAAAAATTGAAGGAATTCATGCCAAAACTATTTTAAGTGTTAAAACTTGCTTTCTGTCTCACATTATTTAAGTGCATCACAAGAAAGTTGGCTTTAGCATAAAATCTCTGCAACATGAACAGTTTCATGAATAACAACTCAGGTTGGTCAGTACTAAAAATAAAAGGTATTCAATGGGCCATGACTCTCTGTTTTTAGGTCACCTGAGCTTTGCTCAAGTGACATATTCCGATTACTTTCCGTCCGTAGTCGTGCGTTAACTTTTTACATTTTCAACTTCTTCTCAAGAACCAGTGGATGGAATTTTTTAAACTTGGTCAGAATCATCCTTGGTAGATGAAGCTACAAAATTGTAAAATTGGGATTCCTACCCCAACCCCTGGGGCCAGGGTGGGGCCCCAAAGAGAAAATTAACCAATATTTCAAAAATCTTCTCCAGACTCGGAGGTACTACAGTCATTTTCTCTGCATGGATGGAAAGATCATCCGGGTCTCTATTTAATTTGTAAATTTCAGGACCCCTAAGCTATCCGTGCAGAGGGGGTAAAGTTTACTATAGTTTATATAGGGAAACAACATCCCCTGGGGATGGCGCAGGAATTCCAATTTTGCAATATAATACCCTCATCCACCAAAGATGATTCTGACCAAGTTTGAATAATTTTCTGCTGAAAATGGATAAAATATACCCAATTCTAACCAGTAAGAATATTTTGACAATTTTCTGTAGGAAATTATTCTTACTGGTTAGAATTATCCTTGAAGGAAGAGAATTATCCTTGGAGGAAGATGGTTTTAAAATGTAAAATTAGGATTCCTACCCCAACCCTAGGGGTCAGGGCGGGCCCCAAAGGGGAAATTTACCAATATTTCAAAAATCTTCTTCTCCAGACTCAGAGGTACTACAGTCAATTTCATTGCATGGATAGAAAGATCATCAGGAGCGTTATTGAAATTGTCAATTTCAGGACCCCTGAGCCATCTGTTCCCCCTTGGGTAGGGGGTAAAGTTTACTATAGTTTATATAGGGAAATAACACTTTTGGGTATATTTTATCCATTTTCAGCAGAAAATTATTCGAACTTGGTCAGAATCATCTTTGGTGGATGAGGGTATTATATTGCGAAATTGGAATTCCTGCGCCATTTCCAGGGGCTAGGGCGGGGTCCCAAACGGAACATTCCAATATTTTTAAATTCTTATCCTTTGATGACATGACATGTATTGTGTTTCACTTAGTTTACATGCTGGTTTCCACATCACATCTAAACAATAAAATAAAGCTACCAGTACCTATGATATAACTCAGGTGACCGCTAAGGCCCTTGGGCCTCTTGTATTTGTTGTGGCAAATGGTAAAATATGACATTGAATTGACAAGGTAAAATAGGAATGCCTTCTCTCAATATATGCTGATATGAAGGAGAATTTAGAGCTGTTATTATGTTCTGTTTCTGAAGTGAGACTATATATTGTCATAATGCTTGATTCACAAGAGCTTTTAGAAGGGTTGCAGGTTCGAGTCACGTCACAGCACTGTGTTGTATCCTTGAGCAAGATACTTTTCTCCACTTGTTCCAGTCTACTCAGCTGTAAATGAGTACGTGGTTGGGCAGTGCTAGAATTGTAGAATGCTAACTGTGAGCGCCGAAGTGGCAGCACTGGTTGTATGCTCCCCAGGGAGTTGAGAAAGATGTTGGTTGGTTGCAAGGACCCTATAACCAGGGTAATAATTTGTGGGGAACCGCTTTGAGACGACCTACAAACTAGGTTGTGATAAAGCGGTATATATGAACCTTGAACTATTATTATTAGCTCACCGGGTCCAAAGGACCAAGGTGAGCTTATGCCATACAGTGGCTTCCGTCGTCCGTCCGTCCGTCGTCCGTCGTCCGTCCGTCGTCCGTCCGTCCGTCAACAATTTCTTTAAACGACTTCTTCTTCTTAACCACTTATTGGAATTTAACTAAATTTGACTGGAAGCATCCCTAGGTGGTGGGGATTCAAAATTGTACAAATGATGGGGCTGACCCCCCAGGGGGCTGAGGGGCGGGGCAATAAGGGGGCAATTTGGCTATATTGCTTTAAGCGACATCTTCTCTGGAACTAAGAGATGGATATCAACCATATTTAACTGGAAGCATCCCTNCCCAAAACTATATATACAAATGCTGGGCAAAAAGAGACAAATGCAGTCATGATATTAGAATTGATCCTGGGGTCTGGCCACAATCCTAGGGACCTAGTTTCTGAGTCACAGCTTGGAAACAGTTGAGATCCCCACCCCATAACCATACATAAACTTGCTGGGCATAAAAAATCAAATACAGATATGCTTCAAGGATTGGCCTTAAGGTCTGGCATATTCCCTTGGATCTCAATTGGAGAATTTTTTGCCATGATTGCTTAGATATCCAGGTGAGCGATACAGGCCCTCTGGGCCTCTTGTTATTATCATTATTAACTTATTTGATATTTCTAAGCAAGACATTTATATATAAATATACAAACTTATACTAAGATACAGTTTCTTTTTTATTTCCAGAAAACTGATACTGACCTGCTAGATGACTCCTTTGACACTGTAAGTAAATATTACATCAATTTCTTATTTACAGCTATCACTGATTTCACTAGAATGATTGATCTGGAGTATGTTAGTGTAGATCTACATTGGTGAGCAGGTAGACAAAGATCTCAGATCACCCTAGAAAAGGTTATTTTACATATTTTCTAGCAGCACAAGCATTTAAGTTTAAAAATGTCAAGGAAACACAGGAAAGGGAGTTGTCTGCCGAGACTTCCCTAATAAAGACATTAAAACCTTTATTTACTCATACAAGCTAGTGCTAGGGGTGAAACATTTCCTTCCAAGTAATTTGATTGACAGATATTGCTTATTCAAATGGATTTAATCATCAAATGACAGACAGAAGGAAAAAGTTGATGGAGAGAGGACACCATTCCTCTACCAACACAGGCTAGTGCCAGTTGATGAATATCAACCAGCACCAGCTATTTTCTCTAGGAAAGAGTGAGGCAAATTCTACTGGTCATCATGTTTACATCTGAAATGAAAAGGGGAATTGTTGACTGAAGTGAGGACACCATTCCTGTACCAGCACAGGCTAGTGCTAATTGTTAATTACAAACCAGCACATAGCTTGTACTAGGAAAGGAAAAGGAGCAATGATGTGGAGTGTAAGTTACAATAGAAAAAGTTGAAATGATGATTTATCCTTCTCTCTTCAATACAACAAAAACAGTACATCGA